TAATCCAAAGCCTATAAGTTCGGTTTCAAAGCGTAATAGGGTATAAGGCGATAGATTACGACCGAATCGGTGGGCGCCTCGCGAGCAAAAATATTGTTTATTGTGGGGGATGTTTGATGCCTCATCAAACATCCCCCTCATTTTAACCACTGCGCTCTGCAATGGTTAAAAGATCGTCTACAAACTGAGCTGGAGCACTTACGGACATTAAGAAACACATCGTCGATATTGAATTGGACGCAAGGAAAATCGAATATTTTTCGATAGACTTCATTTCTTTTCCTATACTCGCATGTTTATCAGGGACACTTCAGTTTCGCTATGCCAATTCTTATGGTATCTTAAATAGTTTCTCATAAGTATCACTTAATGGTTCCTTAATAGCAAAAGCCATTTATCCATTTAAAAATGGCTTTGGTGGTCAAAGTTTCCCCGGGACAGCCATTACCTTTATAATATGTATCTTGTTCAAATGTAGGTAAAGGTCTACCTCTGTTGTAACGGAACCTCAAGCGCCGAACCTATCATTTGTTCTACGATGTTAAAAAGTGGAAGTAGTGTTCCTTGCCTGAAAGTGTTGCCACTCTACTTTTATCAGTCGTACCATAAAGCACCATCACAAAGAACCAAATGAGAACAAAACGAACTAAATTTAATAAAATTATATTTATCTTATTAATCAGAAGTGTATATCGTTTATTTTCTTCCCTTACACCTCTTGCTGGCCATTGCCTTGGTGTGAAGGAGACCGTTCAATGTTTCTATTCGCCTTTACTTCGTCTTGACATTGCTCAACACTGAGAGGATTCTCTCTGCTGCAGCAGAAGAATGAGGCAGAGACATCAAGTCTAACATGAGATCACCTCATTTGTCCTTCAATACGGCACGCCAAAACTGTTCTGGCTCCATGGATGTCTGCCACTCTTATGGCAGGAATTTTAAACAAGATCAGCTCTCTTCTTTCCTTATTTAGGTCCTTGTATCCATCCTTTCAGTGGTCTCCAAAGTCTGGTGATATCCGGGTCCAACTCCTTGACTGTATGTCCCAAATACTCAAGTATAAGGCCTACTATTGAGTAACATGTGAAAGGGAGATATTTTGAATATGTACACACAGATGAAACATGAAATAAACTCTTGATTTGATTTACACGTAAAATTCAAAATCACTATCTTATTTCCCTCTCTGATTGGATGCCCCTCTCCATTTGGATGCCCCCCCCCCAAAAAAAAAAAAAAAAAAAAAAAAGTATGATAGCCTTAGGTGTTCCTTCAAGCTAACTTGCTATTCCAAATTTTCAAATTTCCCAGATGACAGGAAACGTTGGAACATTTGCTTAGATAGGGTAACATAAAAGCTCAGTGTTTTTGCACAATTCCTGTAGGTCTTTCTTCAAGATATATGCCGATTTCGCCAAGGCAATGCTCTCCACTCGGTGCACGGTATTTGTTCTCTAATCCAAGGGAGCTTGATGGGTCATTGGGGGTTGATTTCAGCTGGGTCTTTATCTTTTACATGACTCTTTTTTCCAGGAAATTACCAAGAATAGCCTTCGTACTGTCAATAGAGCTGCGAAGCCTGTGGACCTCTTATCTACCTTGCTCACTTGCTCTTGGGATAATGTATTTGGTGCCATTTCTTGCTTAAGTTGTCCCAAAGGTACTTGGTGCACGTATAAGTACCAAGTATGTTACGGCAGTGCCAAAAACGGTAACATTGGTCTGATACCTGGGCCATTTTTTGGCCCAGGTGTGTGTGTGTGTGTGTGTGTGTGTGTGTGTGTGTGTGTGTGTGTGTGTGTGTGTGTGTGTCACATTAGCTTCTAGTTTTAGTGTGGCGAATAAGTTTTGTTTAAAGTATCTTTTGTCTCATAAAGTATGTTAATACAATTTCAGAAATGAAATGTCTCATAATGAATTTATCAAGATCCTTCTAATCTGAAGAGCTGTGATTATTCGGAGAAGCCATTTGAGCTTGGTTTCAAAAGGTTGAAGACCTTGGCTTAGTTAAGCCACAGATATATTTTAAAAACAGTTGCATGACATGGATCTCATAAGGTCTATAATGTTATTTATCTATTTATTTATTTATTTACCTATTTGTTGGAAAAAAAAAATGTCGCGTCAACATCTAAGGTAATTTACGGCAAATTCAAAATATAGCAATAGTGTGAGGTTTGGAGGCGAAGCCCCGAGGTAAGGAAGATTATACAGGACTGAAGGCATATCGCGTCGAAAGGGTAAAAGGAATGAATTAACGACAGGACAAAACATGTTGGATGTAAAAGGTTGTTGAGCGCCGTGTGGTAGTGAAAGTTTAGAAGGGAAGAACAAAGGGAGCACGAAGGCCGTTCGGGACGGACACCAAGCCAGCCTTTCATCCTCTTCTGTTCGCTTTAGGATGTGAACAGAAGGGGTTGAAGAAAAGACAGAAAAGGAAAAGGGAAGAAGAGACCTTGCAAAATCAGTTGAGGAGAGGACTGAGGTCCAAGGCAAGGGCGATCCCCTATATTAGGCCTCACTCTCCGACTCCTCAGCCCCCAAACAAAGGCCAGGGGATTCGGGGGGATGGAAATGTTTGATGTTTAATGTTTGAAAATAAAGGAACACAGAAACCCGTCCGCTCCTGTACTAGCGGGACTGTTTTGGAATAAGTTGGGAGAAAAAAAACTCGTCGTGCTTCCTGTTTGTAGAGTGAGACCTAGTTTAAATATGAGGACTGCTACCTCATATTCAAACTTATAGGCAGGGCAGCTATAGGAAGGGGTCGATATTGTGGGACATGATAAGACAATCCACCAATATAAACCTCATGGGGGAGGTCTTGTCTATGGAAGCTAATTTTGGCAATGTTGACGTGGGATTTACGCTGGCCTCTGGGAGGAAGAGTGTAACACTGTACTGCCAGTGCATCATATTCACCAAGGCAGGAAAGTAGGTCATTTTCACAGTCTGACCAGTCCTTGTTATACATGGGACAAGCATTTGGGGGAATAGAAACAGTTCCACTACAAGTATTAAGAGATGGGTGAGGTTCGGCAGTAAAGGATTTGCCTGTAAGGTCAGTTAGGGTAGATAGTGCACGAGCTTGGGCTTCAGATGTAACCGTGACAAGGAGTGGACGATCAGAGCGACTGCAAAAGGTAACCTTGCCTACTTGTTTCTGGAGACATTGCTGAAAGAGAAGGGTATTCTCAGAATAGGAGGCTGTGGGGGGAATCGCAAAGAATCGATCCCACTTGGCTGGGCCAAAGAGTACTCAGAAGGTTTGCAGAAGGCCGAGGGCGAGAAGATGGCGTGGTGTGAAGTGGAGTAGTTCTGCGGGGGGTGGGGGGAAGACAATAAGGGTGAAAGTAGTGATAAGGGAAAAGGGGGGTTGACATTGAAGAGGACTGTGCAGCAGGATATGAAGAGGAGAGTGTTGGGGATGAGGAAGAGGTGCTTTCTAGGGGTTGAGTAATCATCTGGGTGGGTGCTTTGGAATGGCTAAGAGTTGCTCAGGCTTTCCGTCCGACCTGCGTTTTTTCTCGGTTTATGGGCTTTTCAACCATGTTATAGAAGCCTATCACACGTATTTCTATCCGTGTGAATACCCTCTCTTGTATAGCATTGGCAAGAGCGGTCGTTCGTAAGCGTCGAAGAGCGGGTATCAGTGGCCGGAGCCGTGGTCAAAGGAGGGGCAGGGGTCAAAAGCCATCAAAATCAAATTCAGATAGGCTATTTGATGAAGGGGCAAGCCTTAATGCCCCTATTAAGGATAAATAATCTTCATTGCTGGCCATGTTGAGCTTGAATAAACTGGAGAAAAGAAACGGTCTACCACTCAGGGTCCCCGCAAGGGGTAAAGGTGTAGGCAATTAACCAAGGGGATACCGTGCCCATGGCTCCCGGAGGTCGTTCGTGACTGACACAAAGCCAGCTTTTCATCCTTTCAGCACGGCTGTCACACTTTAAGAAGGGAATAAAGAAGATACAGAAGAGGAAGGAAGAGAAGAAAAGACCAAGTAAAATTAGTTGAGGCAAGGGCTGCGGCCCAAGGTACGGGTGTTCCTCTACATTGGGTCTCAGTCCCCGTCTCCTTAGCCCTCTCACGACGACGACGAGCTAGGTTTTGGGAAAGGGGAGGATGGAAAGGATTAATGCTTCTGGGATGCCTCCCAAATTCAGCTCGTCACTGGACATTTATGAGAAACAACCACATTATTGGGATAAACATATCTGGTTATTTCGATTTACTGAAACATCGCAATCCAATGATTCACTAGATACGTTGTATGTGAATAAAATTATAACTAGAGATCTCACAAGGTCTACTATTGTAAGTGACCTGTTAGGGTGAGCGTTTGTATTTTTTACTTGTACCTTGTTTCCGTCGGGGCTTCTTTGATGCTTTTCCGAGTTCTGTGCTATTAGCCGATTGTTTTCATAGGTCGGTGAGGGGTAGTGAATGGCATGCCATATTAAGCTCTGTAATCTATTGCAATTCTCCTTTGGTTTTCTAATATGAAAATAATCAGGATTTAAAAGCTTATATGGAACTTAGACACAATAACAAAATAATTGACTGCATAATATTTTGTTGCAGATTTTATTTAGTTACTTCGTGAGGAAACCATGGAAAATTTGGTGGGGGAATTCCCGATCCGACATTCACACCAGAAAGGATTTTTTTGCACCAGTCTAATGAGTTATGATAAAAAATGTTTACCAAACGAAAAAGTGAACGTTATAAATGGGACGATTTTAAAGGGTGATCTCTGAACTGATGATGGAGAGGGGGAGGGGGGGCCCTGATGCTTAGAGAATAATTCAGTGATTAGTAATGGAACAATATATTGTACTAAAAAGTATCATTTACAATGCATAACAAGGCACGTATGTTTCCAAAAACCGTAAGACACGCACAAAACATATAAAACTTCTACATATTATTTATCACATAATTTTTCCTTTGTTACAATCATCACCACATCAGTTTAGGACAAAATAAAACGACCAACAATAACTGATTTAATATTATTGCTATAGGGTTTAATAACTTCACATCCAATATTACTATATCTTTTACCTTCATATTTATAAACTAAGATTATATAAATGGTCATTTTTGTGTAGTAACAGTGCACTAGGGACCGTTGCCTACATACATAGGAATGCAAAGGCTTGGATCGCCACACTGGAGGATTGGAAGGGAAATATCACATACTTTGGGTGTACTTACAAATTGAAGTCCTATTATGATGCAAACGCGCTTCTCAAATGTCATGAACAATGGGATTCCAAAACAAAAAGTGACTGACTACCCTGATGCCTGAACAACCCACCTGAATGTTTAAAAAAGGGGAGTCCATTCCATAAGCACACCTGTTTTCTCTTAGCATCATTTGTCTACCCTCATGGGATATCATGAGACATTACCAAGAGAATATTTCACAGCTCTTCACTATGTTCTGTTAGTTTTAAAATGCAAATTACTATCAAGAAGGTATTTAATCTAGCCTAAACTCCCACATAACTATTAGCTCAATTGTTTAATTTACTTAAGAAAAACATACTGGGTTGGGGGGGGGGGCTGAATGTGAATGTGAGTGTGTGTGAATGTGAATGTAAATGTAAATGTGAATGTGAGTGTGAGTGTAAGTGTGAGTATATCCATGAAAGAGTGTCACTATGTGACTATATGAGTGTTCATTTTCTTCTTTTGAATAAGCTAAATACAATAAAAATCGTAGCACAAAAATAAGACTATATAAAAATGCTATCTTTGGTTACATAAAACAATACACTACAAGCAAAACTTCTGGCACAGCTCTATAAAAAAATTATGTTTGTAATCAATAAAATACAAGAAAGATGTCTAAAAAGCAAAAAAGATAAAAGAATAAATTAAAACAGTGAGAGTCAGTCTAGACATTCTGAGTTCTTAAAAGGGACTCTGCCTCTTCTTATCATGATGCTTTGCATGATAAATATACACTTACTGAAACCAGATAATTAAAAAATACACATCTTACCCATTACAAACCAGTAATAATAATAAAATAACTGTTTTAATGCCAATCAAGTTTGAAATATGCAGCATTTCCTTTCATCATTTACACAGTAAGTTGTGACAAGGAATTGCAAGAATAGCCTCACAATCTGGAAAAAGTATACTATGTCTTTGATGCAAAATTTGAGAAATCGGTTTTTAGTTTAATGGTTGGCTGGTGATGCGATGCGTCCTGAGATGCAGTGTTGTCCACTTTGCTCCTTGCTTCCTGCTGGCTGCGCACTGCACTCTCTAGCCTCAGGCGCAGCTCTGGCTTGCTTGTCAAGACTGCACGGAACTCCTGAAAGATTTATGGCATTATGGGAAGAGGCAAAAAACATCTTTCAGACAGATGTGGAATGCAGAGGAGGTAGTGGAAGGAATAAGGCGGACGGATTTGTATTGACAAGATTTCATAATGTATTTTCTCTTTCATTTGATTTTCTTCTTTAACAATCATTAGCATACCTGAGGATACTGTGGCCCAATCTTCTGGAGTCTGCTAAGGGCATACTGATGCAGCTGACGTGTGTGCTGACTGACGCTGCTTAGTCTATTGGTGTCTTGCAAAGCTCCAACCATTATGCCCACTAATACCCCAACCAGTTCATTTCCTGAAAAAAGAGGTTCAATTGTAGGCTATTGTAACTCAGGAGGAGGAGGAGGAGGAGGAGGAGGAGGA